ACTTTTGCTTTCTTAAAACGGTTTGTGTGGGGGAATGTGCCTATATGATTGCAGAAAACATTTATGTGCGTACGCGATGTTGAATATTAGCGGAATGCAAGCGGGTGGGGACTTAGCTTCGTGCAGTGCTGCGGGTCAGTACAGATAAGAGATAAGATGTGTGTTCAAATTGAGCTTTTCAATGGCGCCTCCAAGTTTACCTCACGTACTCAGGCGTATTAAAAAAAACAGTAGTTGCAAAAAATATTATTTCGTCTATGGACGCATAAAACAAACAAACTTCCTGACCAGCTGTAAAGGTGCGAGCTCGATGTATGCAAACCTATTGGTCGTTACAGCTTGTTGACTCGTACACAAGCAAGATACCCGAGCTACGCAGCGTCGAGATTCCCAGCACAGGCTCGTTCACATATATCTCGAAACGCAAACAGAAAGGCTCGATAGAGTATAAAAATACAACAAGCATGTGTGAAGGCAAGCTATACGTCTCGGGCTTGTGCTATAGATTCGAGGTCTTGCCATTTAGGTTAGTTTAGAGACCAAAAATGATGCTCTCGAGACCGAAAAACGTGAGATCACGGCCGTTAATAGTCCACGCTGCCGATCGAAACCGAAACCATGCCACTCTCCTCCCTGGCCAACTAGTTCCCAAAGAGCAACGCGCGCCGTGTTGCACGCAGGGGTTTATGGAAGCAGTGACCCTTTCTGGTTGAATATAGGGTGCACGTGATGTTTCGATTACGATCATGCAGAATGATGTAAAAAACGAATGTGCCGCCCAAACTGTGTCTTCCTCGGACAGACCGCTCGGACCCGGAGTAGTTCTCCGCGCAGCCTTTTTCGGAGGAGTACGATCTATAGTCACTCGCAACATTTCAGTTTCGTTATCAACGTTGCCGCGGGGAAATGAAGGAGTTTCGCTGTTTTTTTGTTTCGATTGCTGGGTGGGCTCTCTTGCTGTGCTTGCTTTCGCTCCTCTTGTCATGACCGACTGGCCCGAGCATACTGCGGCGCTGACATCGTCTAATAAAACGCAGTAGCAGCGAAATCAGCGACAGCGACGAAGATACCAGCTTAGCTCCAGCTCGAGTGACGACGAGGCAGCCGTTCTCGGCAAAGTCTTTGCCGACTCATTCGCCTTGCCAGCGAAGAGGCCCAAGATATGGCGTTACGTCAAAGACGTTGTGCACACCTATTCGGATGAAGAGCTAGGTATGTCGTTTGCTAGAAGACAATACGACAAATTCCCCTCAGATGGAACTCGCCTGCGGAGATGACGGTAGCTTTACGGCATGCGTGTTTGGTATTGCTTAACAGCCCCTTTGCAAAACGTACAGCGCCACGACGGCAGGACATTTTATCAAAGCATGAAGTTCTGATCGGAACTTCGTGCTTTCAGCAAAATAGCAATGGGAACCGAAACTGTTAAAAAGCGAGGGCAGACGCTATGAAAGCGGTGGCAGCGCGTGCAACTGGGTGGATCGCTTACTGAGGCCGACCGCTGAACGACCGCTTGCGCGGAGCGCTCGGCATCTGCCTGGGCAAAGGGCTGGATCGCGCATCCCCGCTTGGTCGCTGCAGCTGCAGCACGAGAGTGAAGCCACTGATCGGCGATTTTTCATGTTGAAAAATCGCGTTTTTGGAGCGTTTCGGAGGCTGGCGGCAACATGCTGAAGACACGTTTTCTACTCGTTCGTAGTCAATCGTCGAAGAAGCTCTTTAAAACCCTGTGTAAGCCCTGAGACTTGCCGTTGAGAACATGTGGAAATTTTTACGGAAGCGCAGTGCCGCAGTAAAAATGCCCAACTCATCGAAAGCAAGTTTCGCCGCCACGATGCAACGCGCAGGTCACGAGTGACCCGCGCGTTGCATCATTGGACTTTTTCCATAATGCAACGTGCGGGACCCTTGTGACGTCACATGGGACGTCAATTGTGATGTCATTATAGGAAACGTCCCATAATGCAATGAGCGGGTCACGAATGAGACTGCACATTGCATTATACGACGTTTCCCATAACTCAACGCGTGGTTACGCCGACGGCGACGTTGGCGTCGCCGACCCGCGCGTTACATCATGACACGCTTCCCATAATGCAATGCGCGGGTCACAAATGAGACGGCGCGTTGCATTATGGGACGTTTCCCATAACGCAACGCGCGGTTACGCCGACGGCGATGTTGCCGTCGCCGACCGCGCGTTGCATCATGGGACGCTTCCCATAATGCAACGCGCACACGCCGTCATTATGGGAAAGGCCCCATAATGCAATGCGCGGGTCACGAGTGAGACCCGCGCGTTGCATTATGGGACGTTTCCCATAATGCAACGCGCGGTTACGCCGACGGCGACTGCGACGGCGATGCCGCTCAAGCCGGAAACGGGCGTCTAAGAGCTGCTCTCTAAAAAATTAATAGATGTAAACCAAATTGAATTTTCATTCCACAGCCATGTTTGATCCCGTCTTTTTTAACAAAACTGAAATAAGCCTTTGTTAACTGGTTTAAGGATGACGCGGCGTTAATACTAGGCCAAGGATAATATTAGGTGTCACCTTTTAGCATATTGAAGACATGTCCAACCTAACGGTCATTTGTAACCATCATATAGTTTCTATGTCAGCGAAAAACCCATGTCGGTTACATATCAAAACTTGCACGGCTCGAATGGCCTGTGAAAGCAGCGAAAAAACGATGTCGGTCAGTCACCGAAAACTCCGTGGCTGAACTGGCCGGTGATTACAGAAAGAAAACGATGTCGGCCAGTCAGCGGAGACTCCACGGCTAGACTGGCCGCTGACTACAGCAAGAAAACGATGTCGGCCAGTCACCGGAAACTCTATGGCTAGAGTGGCCAGTGACTACAGCAAGAAAACGATATCGGCCAGTCACCGGAAACTCCATGGCTAGGCTGGCCGGTGACTACAGCAAGAAAACGATGTCGGCCAGTCACCGGAAACTCCATGGCTAGACTGGCCAGCGACTACAGCAAGAAAACGATATCGGCCAGTCACCGGAAACTCCACGGCTAGACTGGCCGGTGACTACAGCAAGAAAACGATGTCGGCCGGTATCGGGAACTTTCCGGCTGGCGCTGGCCAGTTTAGACAACGAGTCCCCGATATCGGCCGGGATCGGTTTCTTACCGGCGTCCCTGGCCGGGATCCGCCGTACAGCTCCCGGTACTGGCCGGCGTAATCCCAGTATCGGCCGACATGGTGTGCTACCTGGGTAGTAGACATCCAGGACCCTCGACAAAATCACCCTAAAACGTCGACGCAGGATGGAAGAAATATATTCAATCAACTTCAGATAATGTAAACATGAGCAATCCGATTTCGCCTACTGCATGATCAGACTTTTAGATATGTCTGATTACACGCGAACAAAATACCAAGACAACAATATAATTGCTGGTCTCCCTGCCGGCAATAACTTAATGACATTATACCGTAATATACTACTATAAATGTTTGCGAAGCGCACGAATAATTAACTCAGACATTTATATTCGGTATTTCGAGGTAACCTGGTTTCACCAATATATTTATTGAACCTTGTTAAATTAATTTAAAACATAACATTGATATTAAAAATCGGTGTTTAACACGGACTTTTACAACTATCACCGGCGTTTGGAATTAATCACGCCGGTTGACCGGAGCCACCAATGAATGCCTAATCGGCTCCTGCTCTGCGAAAAAAATGCATCATTATGAGATTTTAAAACTAGTTTATCAGATCCTCAATTTAACGTCGGACGCGACACACCAACGGCACCGAAAAGAGAAAACCTCCGACAAGACGCCTTGTGAATCAGAGGTCGCCTACGTTTAGAGCGGGAAGGGGTAGGAGGCTCCTACCCCCTCCCCTCTAAACGTAGGCGACCTCTGATTAACAAGGCGTCTTGTCGCTCGGCCGCCGCTCATCTCCCCCTGTTCCACCCTCACATACATACACCGGAAAACGTTCCTGGCTACGTCACTGGTTAGCTGATGTCAATCTTCTAAATATGCGCTAGTGCAAACGACAGTCATTCTAGTTCTTGCTCCTTATGAACTTCGATTGTCTAAACCGTGCCTGTGTTCGTGCCACACACTAAGTTTATCGAACGCTCGACACCTTCAGACGTGCAAACATGCCCGCCACGGGTCCCTATCATTTCGTCGAAACTCGTTTCGTGTAATCACGTTTTGTGAACAACTTTTCGTGGACACACGTTTCATGGACACACGTTTCGTCGACACTGTGACGTTTCGTCGAAAATCGTTTTGTGGACAGCACCACCCTAAAACGTTTCGTGGAGAAACTTTTTTTTTTTCTTTTTCTTCGCGGCTCCGAAAGGAATGCCGGAAACTCAGTGTACAAACGTTTGTAACAAATGACAAAAACAATGCCTAGCGCGGTGGCTCTCCAAGGAGAGCAACTGCGCTACCCTCTCGCTTTCATTCGTGTCACATTAAATAAGCAAGAGCGCACAGGACTTCGTGCGCGGCCTATTCAGATATTTGCATGTTCCGATGCCCGTTTGTAGAGCCGAAAATTTCTGGACGAAGAGAAGCGGTGGAGAAAAAAATATGTAGGCGCAAAATAAAACTCCGATCCAATGGTGGGTTGCGGAAAAGGGCGTGGACAATTTTTTTTTTTCATAGTTGTTGTGCGGGTCACACGATGGAGAGATACAAAACCGGTTTTTGTGCCTCTTACGAAATCTTAGGACCAGCTCCGCAGTAGCGGATCCGGTTCTAAAGGCCCGTTCACACTATTGCGACCTCTTAGAACCTGGTGCCTTGGAACTTCTTAATATCGCTTACAACGAGAAAACACACTGACACCATCTATTGGGTAGCAGAGTAAACTTGGCGGTCCGGCATATTTTCTATTTCTCTCGTGCATTATCATTTCTTTCATTGCTGGAAAACCTTTTGTCAACGTTATAAACAAGCCTTTCTTATAGGTATTACGCACATTTGACCTCGGGGCGTGGAGCCGGCACGATCATGGCCGTACCGCTCACGCAATTTCTGCTGTTTGTCCAGGTCATGGGGCGTTGTGCTCCATCTCCGCTGCATCGAGTGAACAACGGAAGCGCCATGCATCCGTCATCATCCACCGGCCCGGATTTCGACTTCGACGACTCTGCTCATGGAACATGTCCACCGTCTGAATTTGGCCAATGCCTAGTGTCAAGCTACGAACATTGGGACGACAGCCGGCATGCATACGGTGTACAAAAGGCGCAGCGAGTCAGTGACGACTTGGGGCGTGGAGCCGGCACGATCATGGCCGTACCGCTCACGCAATTTCTGCTGTTTGTCCAGGTTGGTGACAATCTTACTAGTCGTTCAAGATTTTATGTTTTTCTGTTGCCGGTTCCACCCCATGTCGTCTTTGCTACTGCTAAGTCACGGAATGTCACTTGCCGCGTGCGGCGACGATTTGTGCTGATGCGTAGTTATGCTTTTTATTTTTTATTGTTGCTACTATGCGGAGACATCCAGTTGAATCCCAGTCCTGATACGGCGGCCACTTTACAGATACTTTTAGATGGGCAGAATGCCATTAGAGCTAAGCTTCAAACTATCGAAACTAATCAAGAGCAAAGCAAGGCGACCCTGGATGACCTAAAAACACGCATAGAATCATTGGAACAGCATCTGGCCCAGTTCAGTGAAATGAAAGCAGCAGTCACGGATTGCAGGAAACAGTGTGAGGACACGCATAGCGTAGTAAGAAATCTAACCGCTAAAGTAGACGATCTGGAAAATCGAAGCCGGCGTTGCAATTTAATTTTTTACGGAGTACCTGACACAGACACCCGAGAGTTACCTGCGGCGTCTGAGAAACGAGTTCAGGAAATTGTAACTAGACTTGGACTAGAGCCCGTTCAAATTGAAAGAGCGCACAGGCTTGGTAGATACTCTATTGGCAAAGCTCGACCACTTATCGCAAATTTCGCGTTGTTCAAAGAAAAACAGACAATCTTGTCAAACGCAAAGAAACTAAAAGGTACTAACATTAGCATTTCGGAAGATTTTTCAGAGGCGGTACGCAGAAAAAGAAAACAGCTCTGGGACTTCGCCAAAGATCACCGTAATGATAATACTCGTGTAAACCTTCGATATGATGCACTGTACTTAAATGATACAAGATACATATATGACGAAGCACTTGGACAAGTTGTTCAGAGTACTTGACAAAAAAAGAGCTGCTCGACTTCAAACATATCATTTCTGATTGTGAACTGCAGAAGCGTAAAAAATAAAGTAGATGATTTCAACAATTTGTTGTGTATGACAAAACCTACCGTGGTTCTTGGAACTGAATCATGGCTAGATAGCAGTATCAGTGATGACAAGGTATTTCCAGACAACTACATATCTTACAGAAAGGACAGGAACTATCATGGTGGGGGAGTTTTTATATTGGTAGATAATACTGTTTCTTCTTCTCGGCTTGACATTCCAGTTGGGTCGTGCGAGGCTGTATGGTGCCGGGTTCGGTTATCAAATGGCAAATCACTAACGCTATGTTCTTTTTATAGACCGCCTGGAAGCTCTGCTAATGTCATCGTTGAACTTTCCGAAATGGTAGAAACAATTCAAACATACTGTCTTATTATAGGTGGTGATTTTAATGTACCTGAAGTATCTTGGAATCGGTATATGTTGCAGACTGGAGTGGTAACTGGAGTGGGAAGGGAAATGATAAACATGGTGCGTACATTTGCGCTCACCCAAATTGTAGAAGAACCGACAAGGGGAAACAACATTTTAGATTTAGTCCTAACAGATCAACCCGCTTGGGTAAAGTCTAGTTTGATCCTACCTGGAATAAGCGACCACCATGTGGTACTTTGTGATATGAACGTATCGTATGAAAAAACACAGCCAAACACTGCCCGGAGAATGTACAATTATGCAAGTGGAAATACTGCTGAGATATGTTCTTCTTTAGACGAATACTTCCAGGAATTTGAAGTTTTATCAGAGTCTCTTAGTGTTAATGATCTCTGGTTACTTTTTAGGGCAAAAATTTTTGAGCTACGAGACCGATTTGTGCCATCATGGCTATTAACAGCAAGACGTGCAAAAAGTAAACCTTGGTTTAACAAGGAGTTACGGGCTCTTGGAAATAGGAGACAGAGAGTATTTAATAATCTTAAAAAAAAAATCCTCCTCAGAAGGTAGAGCGAAATTAAAGGCTATCGACAAGGAATTTAAAACTGCAACGAGTGAAGCAAAAACTAACTTTCTTGAGTCATTTCCATCGCGAATTAGAAAGAACCCGAAGGAGTTCTGGAGGTACGTTAAACGTAACAGAAAAGATAAAGTATGCATCCCACCACTCGCGCATAACGGCGACTTAATAGAAACTAGCCTTGGGCAAGCAAACTGCCTGAACGACTTTTTTGGCTCAGTCTTTTTACCTAAAACGTTAAATTCTAATCATTCAAGCCTAGCTAGAACGAATAATGAAACCATGGAGGAGGTATTAATCGACGAGCATGGAATTACACTGCTGCTACAGCGTTTGGATCCATCCAAAGCGGGAGGACCAGACGGCTTGCCAAGTAGTATCTTAAAGTTGTGTGCGCGGTCCGTTTCACCGTTTCTGAAGGTGTTATTTACTGAGTCTCTTAACACGTGTGGCCTTCCCAGCGATTGGAAGACAGCTTGTGTTGTTCCTGTACATAAATCTGGACCTAGGGAGCTCGTCACGAATTACCGACCCATCTCTCTAACAAGTATTGTTTGTAAAACGTTAGAACATATTTTATATACTAGCATTATAAAACACATCGACGCGCATGCAATGTTTAATCCAAAGCAACATGGTTTTCGGCAGGGAGTCTCATGTGTTACTCAACTAACAGAGTTTGTTCACCAAATAAGTGAAAAATTGGATCAGCGAAGATGCATAGACTGTTTATTTATAGATTTCAAAAAGGCGTTTGATGTCGTAGACCACAACTTACTTGTTAGTAAGTTGAATAGTTTTAATATTAACCCTCGCATAGTTGAGTGGATTCAGGAATATTTAAATTTAAGATCCCAATATGCGGTAGTAAATGGTGCTGCATCTGAAACTATTGACGTGACGTCAGGCGTCCCACAGGGGTCGGTGCTGGGCCCGTTGTTGTTCTTGGTTTATATTAATGACGTCGCAGAAAATATCACTTCTTATATGAGACTTTTTGCAGATGACTGCGTCGTGTATCGAGAAATTAGAAGCGAGGAAGATAACTATCCATTGCAACGCGACCTATTCAGAATACACAGGTGGTGCCAAGAATGGAATATGAAGCTAAACCTAGGAAAAACAGTACATATGTGCTTTTCAAGAAAAAAAGATGGACCTAAAAATGTATACATGATTGACAGTACCCCATTACAAACTGTGTTTGAATTTAAATACTTAGGAATATACCTAACACCATCCTTGTGTTGGCACAGGCACGTTGATTTCGTAACAGGGAAAGCTTGTAAAGTATTGGGTTTTTTACGACGCAATACCCGACAATTTCCGCAAAGTGCGCGAGATTTGTTGTACAAAACTTATATCAGGTCTGTTCTCGAATACGCGAGTACAGTCTGGGACCCACCAACTGCTGTTGATAAAAATAAACTTGAAAGAGTTCAAAACTTAGCGGCTAGATATGTTTCCGGGAATTATAACAGGCGACTCAGCATGACAAGTCTGAAGGAATTCTTAGGCTGGGAATCTCTCGAAAAAAGAAGGAAAACGCTACGGCTAAAATTATTTCATAACATTTACCACCGCAGAACTGGTATACAGCGCGAAGACTATATTTTCCCCCCGCATTATATCTCTCATCGTGTCGATCACGAACGAAAGGTACGTGAATATAAATGTAATACAAACCAGTTTAAATCTTCTTTTTTCCCCAAATCTATTAGCGAATGGAACCAATTGCCTTCGGAGGTTATTGATATTTTGGACAATGACGCTTTTTTTGCTGCATTATAAAAAGTGTTTTTTTTTTTTTTCCCGTGGACTGGGTATGCATGTGCGCGTTCGGTTGTTCGCGTTCTGTTATGCTCCTTTATATTTGCTTAAATGAATCACATTGATGTACACTCCCCCCCCCCCCCCCCCCCCCCCACTGTAATGCCACTGGCGCTGTGGGTAAGTGAATAAATAAATAAATAAATAAAATGCCACAAAACCTTCGCTCTTGTGAAATGCAGTTCCAGGGTCAACGCGTAGATGGCGCCAGAGTGCCAGTGTGTTCTCTCGTTTTAAAAAAATTTAAGAGGCTCGTGTCTCTCAGTTGTGCTCGGTCGCAAGAGTGGGAGCGAGAAATTTCGGCGCTCATTTTTTGGACAATATGTATTCAAAGGAGCAGTATCATATCGAACATACCAATATCTTGTTAAAAAAAGTCACCAAAAGGAATTTTAAAACAAATTAAACGATTAGCAAAGAGCACCTGGTGGATGTTGCTAACGCCTCGTTTGTAACGCTCGTCTAGGAACCTTGACAGCTAGTGACGGAGGTTGTCTCGCCTCCGGCCACGACGAAAGAAGAGGGGAAGGAGGAACTCCCCTCTTCCCGAGAATGCCTTTTGTGTGTCGCAGAAGTCGTTATTGTCCCCCTACAATATTATAGAAGATTAACCCGTCACTCAAAATTCGTACAAAAGCAGCCGCTTCGGTGGCTGGAACGACTATAGGCCATCCTCTCGACGTCAGCCTCGCTATAGCTTTGCTCGTCCCGAGACGACGTACGTCACGATTGCGTTGGCTGTCACGTGGTCTCCGCTGGGCCTTGTCCGAGCCAGAGCCTCCTAGATAAGTTACACTATGCCCGTCAGCTTCTCTCCAAGAGGTGTACAGGCCCGATGCTTCACCTCACAACACGGGCGTACGGCTAGGTAGCGCCGACCTGGCGGACGTTCGTTTTTTCTATTTTTCTAGAATGTTGTACTTACATTATTATTGAAGATATATCCTATATACGTTTTTTCAACAACATGTGGAACACTTTTCTGGATGTGACCGCCTTGATTCAAACGAGTTTCGCTGAGACAAATTACGAAACTACGAATCGAGCGCGGCCAGGCTCAGCTTTTGCAGCGCGAACGCCGCGAACGCCGCTTGACCGTCTGCTTCGGCGGCAGTTTGGGGCTTTGGCGACTACCCAGAATCGCGTGCATAGTAATAGTTGGCGCCGGGTCGTGTGCGGGTGAAAGGTAGGAAAATAAGAAGTAATATTCCGTTGAAAACGGCGAGCTGATTTCGAACTCAAAACTGTCGGTCCTGTCGGTGCTGCTGGGGCGACACCATTGAACCTCCTACGGAAGAGATGGTTGGCTTCACTACACGGCAGGTTTGTACGCCTAGGTGGCTCCACCGCACGGCAGCCAGAAGTACTATTTGTCCTCACCCTTCCGCTGGCCAGTGCTCGGAGCTGACAGGCATTGTGTAACTATATAGGAGGCGCTGTCCGAGCGCTTGCCAGAGTGGGCCGTTTATAACGAAAAATACAGCCAACAGGCTCAAAACACAAACGTGCGCTTGTCATTTACGGACATTGTGGATCCTATTCAGCCTATTTTTGAACACGACGGGAATATTTCAAATTTCGTTGAAGTATCCCTTTAAGACGTCGCAAGACTCTTAAAAACCGGTCTTGTCTCTCTTGGCAGTACTCGGTTGCAAGTGTGTGAACGGGCCTGAAAGTACAGGCACGCGTTCGCTCTCCCTTTTTGAGTGCTGATTAAAGGGATACTGAATCGGAAACTTAAAATATACACGAAACACCTAGAGATAAGTAAATGGAATCAGATAAACCTGTAATTGATAATCGCATAGGCATATTTCAAGCGGATGGCTGTATTTTTCGTTCTAAATGCCTGGATTTCGGCGAGCGATTCAAAATCAGCCGTCGAAGAGCGCGATGCATCTCGGGAGATCCGGCGCAGTCTTGACGTCATCATGCCTCGGAGGGCCAAGCGTACCGTAGTTATGAGTCTTGCCACTTGATGGCGTCAGCGTGTTACAATCTCGCATAGTCGAAGTACCCGAGGGCTGTAGGATATTGCGGAGCCGGCGGAGCGGCTTCAAGTGAATGGTCGCCGACCAACGCGACGAGAGCGGTGGGTAGATGACATTAAAGGGCAACTCCGGTTGATACTTTCGATTTTGGGATTATGGCTGTTTTTAGTGCAGTT